ACACCTTGCTGTAATGAGTTGTTTATAAACTTGAAAAGTATGAAACTGATTTTGTATAACACAAAGTTAGAGACCGCTGCTCTAGTCAAACGCCCCCCCCTTTCTTCAACACAAACACACACACACACACACACACACACACACACACACACACACACACCACATAAACACTATCCGCCTCCAACCCCCTGATGTCTGTTGGCAGAATTGTCTGAGGAGCTTAATTGGTACTTTCTCATTTCTTCCTCTTTCTCACTCTCTCTCCCTCTAACTATGTCACTCTCATTCAGTTGTGTGTGCGTGTGCACATGTGTATATGTCTGTTACAGAGTAGAAAAAGCACTGTGCTTTCATGGCAAGAGGACAAGAGCGTGGGTGCCACTAAATGAAACAGAGGCCGAAGCAACAGCACACTCTGTGGCAATGTGATTGGGCGAGCCAACTCGGTTAACCAAATCTTGGAATGAGCCTCGATTGAACAAAGCGCATGCCACAAACACACGCACGCTAACGCACGCAGAGATACACACGCAAGTTGTCCTGGTGCCCAGGCAGCTTTTCCTGCTGCCGATAATGAGGAGGTTTGGAGATGTGCATTTGTTTGTGCAGATCTAAAACACACACTTTAATGGCTAACTCGATGGCTTGCACAGTCTGCCAATCACACACCAGTTTCCTGTCAACAAAATCAGCATTCTGCTTACTTTCACATTTGTGTACAGTAGCTTTTATTACTGCACACTCAGAAACACACACACACACACACACACACACACACACACACACACATATCACACCTGCTGACATCAGATACAAACATAGGATGAGACACTCTTCTACTGAGCTATTATGCTGTCAGTGACATTTTCGAATATAATCCTACTTCTCCTGACATTTCAAGCAGTGGCTGGTTACAGTACACACTTGCTGTACACACAGCCTGCCTCTACATCTGAGATGTGTGTCGTGGAAGCCTGGCAGCCAGAGCTGCTTGTTGGAGCAATGATTTGATTAGGTTTGCGCTGATTACAGTCTTGTTGGTTACAATGTACGGCTCTATCAGAGGGAGGGAGGGAGGGAGAGGGAGTGATTGAGAGCGGGATTGTCAGTTTGTCAAGCTGTCAAGAGCAATGGTGTATTGTACTTTTGTGTTTAGCCGAGGTGTGCGTGAGTAGCCGAGCTGAGACTCAAAATGAATCAGCTGATATCAAAGAGTACCAGTGAGGATATTAATACAAATCTGTTAGCAGTTATCAGCACTCAGGAGAGTGATACGATGCTGTGCATGAACTGGCCCCTTTGAATTGGATCACGGCGAAAGGGAAAGGAGCAGTACATCTGAACGGCTCCCATTTCACAAACAACACTATCGCAGACAAACACTTTTAACGGCAAGAGCGTTGTCTTGGCATTATGTTCGAGAGCTGTAGACCTTGCAGCACAGTGGCACAGCAGCTCAACCGTGGTGTGTAATATTGGCTGAGAACAAATAATCTCAAAAGCCTCAAATGCCCTCTGCCTTTGTAAGCTTTATGAAATATTAACCAAATTAATCTACAGTCTTTTTTTTCCCAGAGAACATACTGTACTGCAACTGATTCCCTGTAAACCAACAATCATTCCTGAGATTAATTCTAAGAAACACAGCAATATTTTTGATCTCTGAAAGCCAGGGACAAGGTGTAATTATTCTCTTCCATATATTATGTTTTCTATTAATTAGGTCTGTGCCAGTGAACGCTGCTTGTTGAAGTGACAGCCACAGAGCCACAGGCGTCTCTCAGCACGGCTTTATTCCTAACAGCAAGTGTGCCGAGTGGAACGCGTTATTATAACATTATGGGGCTTAACAGATAGTAGTACAGCATCTGATCGGAGGTCAGATTTGTGTTGTGCCTTGTGAGGATATTTTTAAAGACTGATATGATACCCTGTGTAGTAAAGCAATTTCTAGAGGCCTCAAGGCAGAACAAAAGGGCAGAGTTCACTGAGAGCAGAAAGAGCTTCACTCAAAACATGCGACCGGAAAATGAGGGCCGCAAAGTAAAATAGAAAATCATTTGAAGGGATTTTATAGATTGCAGATTTAATGTCCGTCTGATGGGAAAAAAAGAGAGAGAGATCAGAATTAATCCTCTTAGCCGTTTGTTTGGTAATCTGATTTAGTCTGATTTTAAGGCTGCTATCTCTGGTTGTGGTTACTGATGCTGTCTCTGTCCCTCCTTCTCCTCTGGTATACTAGGGTTTGGACTCGACACATAAACAAAATATGGATATATGTAAGTCCCTCGTTCACCAAATCCAGCAATGTTTCTGCTTATGAAATGATTCCCCACTCTGACATCGCTCCAGAGAAGCACACTACGGCTGTCCCTGCTCCAAATAAATGACCTACTTTGCACATTAACACACATTTACATGCAGGCAAATTCCAGGGCAGCTTCATAGTTTCTGTTCCCGGCTCAGACTCTTCTCTCTTTAAGCGCGATGCGGCTCTCGTCCAATTCTTAGAAAACGCAGCTTTTTTTTTCTAATTCTCCTGCCATCTTTGAGGGGATCACTTTGGCAGCCCGGCTGAGTGGGGACAGGTTAAACCATATTTCCTTTCAACCTAACTGGAAAATAGGTGCATAATGTGCGCCACGGCTTCTAGCAGAGTTGTGCTTTTGTCATGCGAGCGTGTTAAAGGAAGGTGAGGCTGGCACAGAGGCCCACCTAAGGTGCTCCCGGCTCAGGCAGAGCTATTTCCAGACCACCAGCCCCTCCCGTCTCCTCCACCTCCACCTCTGGTGGGGAAACCACACCACTGCACAGGCCCCAGTCACAGACATGACTCAAGAATGGATCCATTATTCACACAAGCTGTTAGGGGACTGGCACATGAGGGTGGGATGTGGTAGCGGGACACGAATGCTCACTTTTACTTAACTTAGAACTGCTCAAGCAAGCAAAATACATAATGGGAGTATTTTTAACAAAAGAAAACAGGTAGTGCCGCATTCTATGTATCATTAGACAAGTACGGTGGAATAATGTCAGATAAATATCCACAATGTGATTTGATTAATGTAATTGTAATGAGTAAGTAATTGCAACAACAGAATACATTTGCCACGGTGTCCATGTGCATGCTCACTGCTGAAATTATATGTGTGAACTATCAGGGGCCATGTGACTGTATATGCATGCTAAGACACACAATATAAAGCAGAGCAACACAATAGTGCAATGGAAGTCAACACAGCTTTAGACACACACGTCATATCAAGTTCAGTGAACGCTTGACAGCACAACGCAGCTCCACACAACTCGAAGTGGATGAATGTGTAAGTGTTCTCCCTCTCTCTCTTTCTCAAACACACACACACACACACACACACACACACACACACACACACACACACACACACACAGAGGCCAGATTGTACACAAGTTTGCTCATGGACCATGATAAGAAAATGTGGTAAATGCGTAATCTGATATGCATGACTTGAGGTTTCTCTCTGCCTTTCTTTTCCTCTTGGAAATCGCAGGTTGCATCCATAATTTACACCAGCCTCCGTCTGTTTCTCTCTTTTCCACTCTGCTCCCTCCCTATTTTTTCTCCCTCCATCTCCTCTTCTCTCTCCTGGCAATCTGGCTTTTGCAGCTTTGCTCATTAGCATATTGCAGAATGTGCAGATGCCACCAAAAATTATTCACCTTCCAGCGCTTTGATGCCGTTTCGCATGTATACAAACTACACTGTCAACATTTTGCACAGCCTGCCAAACAAAAGCAGAGGGACAAGGTCTCCTTTTACTCAAATGCGTTGAGGCCATAATGCAACGTTCTTTTGTCTGATGGTTCCTCATATTCTCATTCACCCCAATTACATCATCCATCACTTCAGCCAAAGGTTTTTGACACTGTGATGACAGTTGATGGAGTGTTTCTTCTCAGTCAAGGTTTAAATGCTTAACACTTAATATTCATGCAGTCCCAGGGATAACTGAATACATAATATTCATGCTGTTCAAAGGCTAATTGAACACAGTATTCATGCATGTTTTTGCATTAAATGGAGGCTTGTCCTGCAGGTTATGCAAGCAAATGATTGGAGGATGGGATATGGGTTTTTAGCAGTTGTCCTCTTTAAGATTGATATTGGTGCTGATGGAGGCAGATCAATAGCCATACATGGTAACTCACCATTAGCTCCACACTGCTAACACTGCTGTTCAGGTTTCCAAACCCTAGGGGCAGTTTGAAGCAGAGCCAGATAGGTATCACCACTGAGGTATACATGCAAGAATGTGGTCTTGTAAACATCTTTAGAATGGATGTTTCTCAATCGACCACATCAGAGGAAGAACACTGACATTGTGAAGCACAGACCGACTTGGCATCACAACTTGTTTGGGATCTTGTGACTGACTGCCCTGTTACCTGACAAGCACCAGCTGTCTGCCATGCAAAGAGGAAATGCCATCACCCACAAAATCCAATCCCTATCATGTAAATCATCACGTAACCATATGCTTTCATTCAAAACAATAGCGCTCAACCTCTCATGGCGATTAACTCAGCATGTTCTGACGTGTATGTGGTCCATTATTGTTCTCTCAAAGCCTTTGGAAAATAAGACAAAGTGTAGTATCAATTTCAGTATCACAGAAAATAAAAGGACTTTTCTTCACATACGATTTGAGTTTAAGTCTTTGTGCCCTAAAAGTCTGTATGTTCTTTTGCTCCTCTGAATCAAAACATATTCTGTTTTCAGTTCATTCTCAAAAGCACACTGTCTTCTGACTCAGTTACTGTATAACATGATCACCAGTGCATTCTGGACTACAAAACGCCTGTGTGTATAGTGGCTGGTATGACACAACAAAAGACAAACTCCAAACTGCAGCCGTCCTATCTTGTTGGCAACCTACACTGAAGCATATCTCTATCACCGTACGAACTGATGGAAAACTGTTGGTATGAAGGCATGGGTGATAAATCAGGATCCTTACCAGTGTGGATGAGGACGTTCCTGTGTTTCCTATCAGGTAAAATCGGTTTCTTAATCCTCATCAATCACAGAGTCTAAAATGAAACAAAACAGAATGCAATGCACATCAGGGAGTGTGACAAAACACAATCTGCTTTTTAGTGATAGAAAAACAAGACTTAGGTGGCAACATTTATCGAGATGTAATAAAGCACCCTGTCGTGCATCTGACAGATTGGAAGCACATAACAAGGACTGACAGAGCTGGAGAGAATGTGCATCTCTAATCCCCGCCAAATATGAAAGATAAAATACTTAAATGACAAATACAAGTTGATTTCTCTTCATCTTTGTGAGTGTTTTGCGCCACTCTAGTTGCAGAAGCAGCTGTCTTTGAACTCTCCAGGCTCTAATCTTGGAGGAATATTTCTTCTCTGCTTCTGGCTCCTCTCTAACTACGATGTGCAGATCTCCTAATGGGACGACCACTCACTGACTATTAATGCGCTAGCTTACTTTACAGGACTGTAGTTTTAACTCAGTTATTTCTGTGCTTGAAACTCCCCCATAATTTCATTAATATTCTGTTAGACTGCTTCCCAAAACTGTCTGGCTTACAATTTTTTCCACATGTGTACTCGTACAGTAGGCGGAAAGAAGACTTGAGCTATCTTCACAGGCTACAGATTGCCCCACATTTAATTACTGTTAACACGCAAGCTAAATACGCCTCCATGATTTATTCATTTCCCCCCATATTTGAGTCAAATTAAATTAGTCATATGAGTTTAATTAACTAAATATGATCTGATATTGTAATTTCACACTTGGATATGGGATACAGTGAAGGGTACTTGAGCACAAAGAAACCATGGTAAACCAGTGCTCATTAGAGGCTCTTATATGTAGTCATGTTGGCATTACCAACAGCAGCATTAGCTGAATGACTGCTCCTAATCATGGTTTACACACTGGGAGGTTACCTTTATTCCTAAAGAACTGGGATCTCTCCGCTCACACCATTATTCACTGCTCCTATTAATCATCGAACCGTAGCTAATACAAGTAACTCCCCTCATATTTTCTGGGACCTGTGCTCTGTTCATTATTGTTACTGAAGACCACACAACTGCAAGTGGGGAAAATAATAGTTTACTCCTCCAGTTTACTTCATCTGCCCACGGACAGAGTTTTGGTTTTATTTGCCCATGTTTTAAGATATCCGTCTCTGAGATATCTTGAGCTAACGCCCTTTTATGCACTTTTATTATAATATTATTTAAACATGCTTGAGAGAAATATTGCAGTGTATTCCTAAAACACTGTATGCTTTATATTCAACCATTTGTATGTGCTTGTGTCAGAGAAGGTCATCCTTTTGCAGCGAATCAAAGATGCTCACATTGACTGATATACACTCACCTGTTTTCCTATTCAATTGCACCAGGCAATTTCTATACCCATGTGTCTTTAGTTGACTGAGTAGTTCTAAAGCACAATCTCTAATGCTGGTGTTATTTCCCACTCATACAAATGCTCCATCATGGCACTAAATGAGCTGCAGTGAGTGATATAAAAAAGCACACGGTAATTTACTGATCCCTGGTAATGAAACATGAGGCCGGTGTGGCATGTTTTTTCACTCTCACCGAGAGAAAATATGGCTGCTGAGAGCTACGCCGGCTTGCAAAATACTGTCACACTGCCTCACGACACAGGCAGAATTATCAGAGAAAAACAAATGGAGGCATTGATTCACTAGTTGTTTATTTACAGCCCTCTCCGGAGAAGAAATAAATTCCCCTGTTGAGGCTTTGTTTCCCCATCATACGACACAACGGGATGCATGAGAAGAGGGGTGAGCAGGCCACACACACACACACACACACACACACACAGACAGACAGAAACACACAATACAAATGTAAGCATGCACGCGCAAACACACACGCAAACGTCTTACATCTGGATTAATCTCCAACGGGCGTCATCACAGATGCCATTAAACGTAGCAGAAGGCGAGAATCATGCAGGAAAGACGCTGCCATCTGAATAATTTATTCAGAGGCTCATCTTGTCTCACACCAGGGGGATTTCTGCTTTCAATTTACACTGTTCTCCTCCCCATATTCAAATCCGGGAGCAGATTTGTTGTGATTGGCACACGGAAGGTCAACGTTAGCAAGCTAGCGTCGAGGCTGTCCTCAGTGGGCTGGTATGCTGGTCTATTAGCACACTAGGGTAGTGTGTGTATGTGTGCGTGTGGCAGTCTTTGTTTACCTCAGTGTGCGCTGGGTGACACTGGAGAATAGGCCCGTGGAGCGCAGAGACAGCAGTGTGTGTCTGAGCTTATTAGGCTGCTTTCCAAGGACACAGGAGGCTCTAGACATTACACTGGCTGGGGAAAAAACACTATTGCTAATCATAGCAGGAAGATGTTAGGACTGCAGACACAGAGCGAGGGGCAGACACAAAGTACAAGAGAAGGAAGGGAGGATGAGAGGAGAGTTAGAGGAAGGAGGGAGAGCGCGGGATGAAGTCATGGCTCTCATGCATGTCCTCACTCTGGGTGTCACACTGGGACTGAGAAGAGGACGGAGAACGTCTCGGTAAGGCACGGGTCATCTGTAACAAGATGAGCTGCCATTAGCCAAAAGGCACACGGAGCATCTGACAAGCATGGGAGACAAAAAAAACCACTCTCTCAGAGTGACAAACTGTATTTTCAAGTCTTCTGTTTGAAATTTCCAGCATTGGAAGGCAGCACAAAGGATCTGTTTTGTTGTTTTATGCTGTCGTACGATTCCTTGGGGAAAGGATCAGTCTATCTCACTTTGCACAAGACGTAGGTGGCGTAGAGACAGACAACATATTCGAGACGGGAAGGCTGTTTGTCTAAAGACGCTTGCTCTGTTAGAGAGAAGCTTCTCATTTTCTGAACTGTAATCCAAACTTTAAAACAAAAAAAAAACGACTTACGAGGTTGCTCGGGGGGAAACTGTGCTTACCAAGCAAAATGCCCTTGTCATTTCCAGTAGTAAATTGGTATGTGCTAGCTAGCGCTGATGACAGGACTTGGCTGATTCTGCCTTTATAGGCATGAATGGCCCTGTAGTAGCCGGGCACTGTGCAGCGGTTCAACAAGGCCTCTTTAACCAGCTGAATGACAGGCAAGCAGACGGGCGATGAGCCAACCACAGACATTCAGCTCTGGCTGCTGTAATGATGCCAATTCAGCCAGACCAGGGAGACCACGTGACGAGGGCAGGAAGAGAGTGAAAGAGGCGAGTCGAAAATCTATGAGCGCATCAACAGTTAGGTCACCAGGCTGTGTCTTTCTTCTCTTCTGAGTATCCCACCTCTCATATGTCTCCAATTTTTCACAATTGTCTAGCGGCCCTCTTATGTTTTCTCTTTAAACAATTTTGTTGTCTTTGCTGTTACCGTGGGGAGTCCATGAATGTGTGGCTTGTTGCCTTGTTAAGCCTTAAATGTCAGTGTCCACAGCCCTGAGCTTTGCGTCAGAAGCCCTTTGCACCCTCCCGCCTTGTGGAAATCTCTGTGCAAACTGAGGGGAAACTAGGCACCAGTATGACACAGCATGGAGGAATGCACCAGCGGATGTGGCTCTCTCTCCCTCTCTTTCTCCATCTCAGTCAACCCCTGTCTCCTCCTCCTCCTCCTCCTCCTCCCCCCCTCCCACTGTGGGCAGATCCATATGCACCCAGTAATTATCAAGGTTATTTTCTCCAGAGAGCCAAATCCCTGTTTATGGGCATTAGCGTGTGTCACAGGGCCCTGGCTGTCAACCCACAGGACGCTGACTCTGTAGACAACCCCTAAGAAAATCTCAGCTCCACTGACACTGCGGTTGCCAGACCTTGCAGTTGCTTCGCTTTTTACTCCCATTTAAGAAAAAAAAAAAACATTTAGGATTTTCGGTAGCAGAGTCATGACCTCAAGTGAGACAGCAAAATGATGTTTCGTGTGAGCTTCCACCTCAGCTCTTGCCAAAAACCAAGGAGTTATTTCTGGAAACCACCAACTTAACCAAGAGTATGCTGTAGCAAAGAGAACAATTAATACTCAGACACTACACCCAAAAAAAATAGCAGAATATTTAACTAAAATCAGTGTTATTAAATTATCGCAGACATGAGGGCAAAGAGTGTTTTATGTTCGTTCTACTGAACTGTTAAAAAAAAAAAAAGGAGATAATTTTCTACTATGATTGGTTTAATTCAGTCCCTTCCCAGAGCCAGACACCCTGGAGAATTGCGACCTGGGCTACAGCACACATTTCCTTTTGGCAGTGGCTACACAGGAAGTGAAGACTGTGAAAGGCCAGTGGTTAACAAGCCCTGTAAAAAAAACACTAACCAATCCAACAAGCTAGGTATTGTACCAGTTAATTAGAGGCAAACAGGAGGCAACTTTGTCTTCTGAATGGGATTCAGAGGTGGCTTGTTCTACAGTAGGCTTGTCAGCAAACAAGAGCCTGGAGCAGCCTGAATTACAAGCTCAAAAGTAAATCTACGTGTAACAAACTGTTAGCCAGGGTCAGCAGTGCATGTGTGCGCACACACACACACACACACACACACACACACACACACACACACACACACACACACACACATCAAAATCGACTGCTCCCTTCACAAAAGCTGCTTCCTCTCTGTTTCATCACGCAGACCGGGCTTTGTTAGTGTGCGGAAATGCCTCCAGAGGGAATGAAAATACTGGCAAGTCCCTGCAGCTCTTTTCTGGAGAGAGACGGGTCCTGCAGCTGCAACTTCATACACACACGCACGCAACCACACACATATATGCCAAGTGCCCATGTAGGTTGAGGGATCAGGTTACGTACAGAGATAACCGTGTTAACCTAAAGAACATAAACACCGGTGTGTGGTTACATGGCTGTCAGAGGAAGCTAACACTGACAGTACAGAATCTAAAGTTGGACTAATGTTGTCACGGCTGCCACAAAATTATAGGCAACGTCACTGTGAAAGCTCATACTGCTGCTAAAATCAGGGGTTTTCCAGCCTGGGAATTACATTTGGAGAATTAAGTGACCGTGCTTCCTAGA